GATGAGTCAAAAAGGATCCAAAGGCCTTGTTGAATAAATTTATAATTTCATTAGGGTTCATCTCTGAGGTATAGTACTCATTTAGATAAATACTCTAGTCACTTTTAAAAACAACTCATTTCAGGCACTTTATAGCTCAAATTGATGTGTTCATATACCAACACATTTCTTTTTACTGGTCACATAAAGCCTGCAAGGAAGAGGGAAGGACATTATCATTGTGTTGAATGTGGTAATAGATAGACAACAGGTAGTCTGGTTATTTCTGTACCAAATTGTAGGCACCCATGGCATAAAAGCTTTATCTCTAATTCAAGATGTGTTTATCTTATTAGAAATCTTATCTCTTTCTAGTATAGTGCTCATCAAAAATGTTTATAAAAAAGATTTAATTATGCAGGTGCAGTTGATTTACAGAGCAATCCTATTTAATGAGTAAAATCATCTGTACACCTGTTTGCCTAAATTGGCGGAAATGAATCGTCTTCAAAATATATTTTAAAGTGGTTATTTCTATTTTGGGTTGTTATTTTTAAATTTTTTGGTATATTTTTATGACCTACTATTTTTTGAGTATATAATATACATTTAAATGCTGAAGGTGTCTGATATTATGAATACACATTAGTAACCTAAATCATACCTTTTTAAAATTTGGTTTGTAAATTAATGATAGCAATTGTTTTAGTGTTGAACATCATCAGTAATTGATGAACAGTATAATTTTCTGTATTTTTGCTAATGATGACTTGCTAATCTCTGAATTTTAACTGAACTTCCTAGTATTTAAATCTTCCCTGTCTGAGATATTTTGTAAATAACATAAAGTCTACACATATCTGTATATATAGTAAATAATATCTGTATACATTCTGTAAATAATATCAAGTCTATACATTATTAGCTTCTATTCTTCTCCTTCCACTGCTGAGTAGGAAAAAAACCCTCAGACTCAGTTTCCCCCACTGTATACTTACAACATTAATCACTTCTCTGACCCCAAAGATGTGGGGATTTTCCCCCACAAAACAAGTAACTTATTAATTATGTAGTGGATATCAGCTGGGTGTCCTCTAATTCAATTCTGTTGTGACACCATATACTTGGACATAGTGCCAGACCCCACAGCTTGACACAGTCCCCAAGACTACCCATCCTCTTGCTTAAGATGCCAATCACAAGACCTGTTTTTTGTTGCTTATGAAGTGCTGAGGACAGAACCCATGGCCACACATGCTAGACAAGAACTCTATAGAGCTACATCCCAGCCTGACCTGGGTTGTTTTACATGTACTTCTGACTCCATGGACTTCCCAGTGCAACCTCCTTGGGTTGAATTAATCTCTTAGAGCTATTCATGGAACTCAGTGAAGCACTTGTATTTACTGATTTATTATAAATGATATAACAAAAAGTATGGATAGAGAAGCATATATGAGGAGGTATGGAAGAAGGGGTATGGAGGACATGTCAGCCTCCAGGAATCTCCATATGTTTTGCTATCCACTAGCTCCCTGTGCTTCTGGGGCTTTTTGGAGGCTTCCTAATGTAGGCGTAACTGATTAAATTATTAACCATTAGTGATCACCTTAACTTTTAGCCCCTTTCTCCTCAGAAGTTGGAAGATGGGGTTCAAAGCTTCAGCTCTCTAACACTGTAGCTACCTAGGGGCTGTCAGAGTACCAAGAGAAAATCATTTGGAGATTCCAAGGATTTTTATAGTTGTATGCCAGGAGACGGTAAAGAATATCACATATATATTTTGCAGCATTACACTTGCCCTGCATCTACTTGCTGCATACATAATCTCTCAATGGTCAAATTATAGGATATTTCTACTTCTGATCTCTCTTGGACTGCAGATTGTGGGTTCCAATTGCTGGTTGGTCTCATAGAGATGAGTGTTCTTGGATAACATAAGTCAACATCTTTAAAACTGAACTTATTACTATCTTCTGTCTTTAATTTTTTTTATTGCATTGTCACTATCCCTGCCTTTGCCTATACCTTCATTATCTGCTCTTGCATTGATGTAGGACCTCTCACTATCCTTCCTGCCCCCACAATTATCCTCTGCATTTTTTTTTTTTTTGTAGTGGGGATTTGAACCCAGGGGTGCTTTACTAATGAGCTACAACCTCAGCCTTTTTTATTTTTTTCTTTTGAGACACGATCTCACTAAATTGCTTAGGACCTTGCTTCAATTGGCTAAGCCTGGCCTCAAATTTACAATCTTCCTGCCTCAGCCTCCTGAGTTGCTGAGAATGCAGGCATGCACCACCACTCCCAGCTGCATTTCATTCTTCACACAGCCTTTGGAATTCTCTTCCGAAGACAACTGAGATCATGTCAAATATATCCCCCAAACTTTTGATGAATGTTTACTAATAATAAGAAAATTGTTTTTCTTTAATGTGGCTCCCAATACTCTTCAAAGCCTTGGAAAATACCCGTTGGAATTTTTAGTCTTAGAGCTCTCTCCCCTCTTTATATATTTTAGCTAACAAAACTATTTCCTAAAATTTTGGGTTTTTTTTTTAATACCTGTTGTCTTAAAAATTTCTGAGATTGGAAAACCTTGCCTTTAATCTGAGCTCTACTTTGTCCTCATTTAAATATGGGTATTCTCTAAGGTCTGTTAATTACTGTCCTTTTGGATAAGCTTTTTCCAATTATCTGACCATTTATAATTTGTCTTTTCAGAGCACTTTTCCTACATTTCTGTTTTGTCATACTTCCTGTACTGTTGTAACTGTCTTCTCCACTGAGGAGACAGCCATATTGGTGCCTCCCCAGCCATATTGGAGCCATTTTTATTTCTCCCTCAGTATCCATGACCAAATTTTCTCCGAGTGTTTTCTCATAGGATTTTAAATGTTTGAATCAAGAGGGTCAAACTTGGGGAAGAGCTTCAGTTCATCCTAGGGATTTGGTGGAACTTTTTGTTGTTGAGAAGGTGTCTTGCCATGCTGGTCTTGAACTCCTGGGCTCAAGCATTTCTCCCAACTCAGTCTCCCAGGTAGCTGGAACTACCAGCTTGTGCCACCACACACGAAACTGGTGGGACATATGTTATGTGGTTCCAAGCTGCAAACTTGGAATTTCTGGAACTGCATGGAGCTTAAGATTGTGGTAACATCTTTTCTTAACTTTTCATTTGAAGTAGTGAGGACTGAGTTATCCATTCTCTGTCTTCCTCTTACCCAAATATTTGAGGAGACTCCTTGTAAGTGACTTCTTATCAGTCTGCCTCAAAAGCAACTGTTTTATTATATTATTAAAAAAAAAACAGAAGAATTCCTATGCCTCATTCATGCTAGATATTCTAGAAAACACACATTGTTTAAGATCAGAGTTTAGCAAGCTTTTTCTTTAAAGGACAATAAAACAATTATTTTAGAGTTCGTTGGCCATGTGTTCTCTGTCACAATTACTCAGTCCCATTGTAGAAATGTAAAAGCAGCCATACGGTATACATAGTGGATGAGTGTGGCTGTGTTTCCATAAAACATTTATGGACACTGAATTTGAATTTAAGATATTTTCATTCATAAAATAGTCTTTTTAAAATTTATTAAGCCATTTAAGTTTGTAGATACTATTCTTAGCCCATGAGCTGTATTAAACAAGCTTCAGGTTGAATTTGATCTATAGGTTTTAGTTTGTAAACGCTTGGTTTAAATCATTTCTGTTGTAAATATCTTTAGTAATTCTGATTTGACTCTAAGTCATGTAACAGAGAATAATTGCTTGGCTAAGATTATGTCCTTGGGAGTCTTTAATTAAAAAGTGGAACATGTTAAAATACATTTGAGTCTGAAAGTAGAGAAATATGTTGGAATTTCACATTAGAATTTATAGCAAAATCATTTTAATCTGATAGTCTTGGATCTTAAGAAGTTAGTGATGAGAGCTGGGTGTGGTGGGGCAGGGCTGTCTTTCCAGCTACTCAGGATGGCTGGAGTACTGCTTTAGCCCAGGAGTTCCAGATCAGCTGGGCCTTATAGAGAGACTGTATCTCTTAAAAAAAGGAGAACGTAAAGTGGAGGGGACAACTGACTGAAGCACATGAAGGACCTAATGAGATAACTTATGGTCTACAGATGATAACTTAAAATGAAGATTATTCATTTGTACATTACTTAAAGGTACTATGAAGTTGCAACCTGCCCTCTAATAGTCACTTACAAGAATAAGATCTAACTTTCTGAGTTAAGGTATATTAGAAACTAAAGGATAAACAAGAGTTATAGTGGCAAAAAAAAAAAAATTCTTTTTGAGCTCAGATATTTTTGTCTCAATTTTATAACATCTAATCTATTCAGTGTATGCATTATGTAGCAATATGTCTTCCATCTTAAAAATTACCCAAAATATCATGTATGATGTGGTGTATTCCTAGTTATTAAACTATGTAGTACATAATATTTATCCACAGGTAAATATTTGGAAGAATGTTCCTGGTAAGTTAAGTGAAAAAGAGGTAACAAATCTGATTAAGGAAAAAATAGGTATAAATACAAATAAGTTTGAATATACGCAAACACCAATAGTAGTATCAATTAGTGGTGGGTTTATAGGCATATAAACATGTTAGATGCTTAATTTTTATTTTTGTGATGTTTGGAGCTAATTCCAGGGCCTTACACATGGTAGGCAAGCACTCTACCACAGAGTAACATTCCCATCTCCAATACCTCTATTTTTTTTAAATATTTGTTTTTAGTTGTCAATGGACCTTTATTTTATTTATTTTTATGTGGTGCTGAGAATTGAACTCAGTGCCTCACACATGTTAAGCAAGCACTCTGCCATTGGGCTATAACCCCAGCCCTGCAAAACATCTATTTTGATCTCGTTTCACACTGAAATTTGAGTGCTTCTATATTCTAAGAAATTTTAAGTAATAAATTGGACAGTTAGTTCTCTACAATTCACGATTTATGTTTGAGTCGGCAAAGTATGTCTAAAAGCATCAAATAATATCTGATTAGGGATTCTTAAAAATACTGACTTTCCTTTAAACTTTTATCACTTGTAATTGTTTTTCAGGGTAAAGATGATGCTTATTTGTGTATCAATGAAGGTCAGACTGTTCATGTACAGCCTGCACATTTTTCAGGGCGAAGTCACCCTGTGATGGACTCTCGGGTGAGTGTGAACGTTCTGGGAACCTCTGCCTGGCTGTGTACCTTCCTGCTATCTGGCTGTCACTGGCATGGCTGTGCAAACATAGTCTTTGAACCCCCACAGTCATCAGCCTAACCCAGCAAGGGCCTGGCAGCAGCTTTTCTGTCTCATAGTGATCTCTGAGAAACTTCTCTGCACTTTAGAAAGCATAAGTTTCTCTTATAGGAAAAGATGAAGTCTTGCTTATGTCACTTAAATGCTTGTTGCATCTTATAAAAAGGTATTTTATAGTTTGTTGACATGGTCAGAGGTTTTGCCCCTTTTCCAAAGTTTGCAGACAGGTATTTTAAAGAAGAGACTTTTGTTAGTGACAGCAGTATTTCTTGACTGGTGAGAAGGAGGAACATGTATGGTAAAGAATGGTGCCTTGGGCAATGTCATTGTGTGCCCATTGTGGCATCTATGCCATTTTGGTTGAGAAGTTTCTCTTTCACAGGGCAATTGACCAACAAATGAGCTCTGAAGAGCAGTAGCTATTACTCAGTGACATAGCAAATGGGGTCTGACTAAGCAGTAGCCGTCACGTAATGATATCACTGTGCATAGCATTCCCATGGGCTTGACTCCCTCAGGTGGCTTGGAACTTCTCCCCACCTGCAGCTTGCAGGAGGCTACTAGGGTGTTACCTGTGAGCTTCTCAAGTATTTTTGACTGTGTGCTAGTGCCAGATGGAATTAGCACATCTGCTAAAATTTCTAACCTGAGTAGAGGGACTGTGGGTTTCTGGCTCAAAGTAAAAATTATATTTCTGCCAAGTGGGATAAAGACAAACTGAGAGAAAATGCTTCTTGTACTCTTCAAAGAGGAAGTGCAAAAACAATAACACTGCAGATGAAACATGCATCTATGATCTTAGAGAAGGAAATGAACAGGATTTTGAACATATTATATTTAGCACATCTTTGGGAAGTGCTGAGAAGACCCATTGTGTGTGTTTGTAGGATCCTCTTGAGGCTGTGGCTTGGAGGTTGGTGGATGGTGTTATGCAGTGTTCTTTCAGAAGAAACATTACCCTTCCTGGGGTTAAGAATAGATTTGATCTAAACACAAGTTACTACATATTTCTAGCAGATGGTTCAGCTAATGATGGTAAGTACATGGATAAAAACTATTTTTGCAAGTTCTTTTCTCTTCTTCCCTTTCCTCTCCCCACCCCCAATGACTTTGTAATTGCTCATTTTTAGGTACACACTTGTGAATAAGGAGTTATAACCCTTTTCCATTTTGCCTGAAAATCTGAAATTTAGTTAATCTAGCTTTGTTTGAGAACTACAGAGTGTCAACTGGGTACAAGGCATCAGGGCTTATGATCAGAATGTTCTCTGGTTGCTAAAATGTATTTGGACAAGAAGAACTTTAAATACCTTGAAAAAAAACACATATCTTTAGGTTTTCCTGAGTATAGTGAAATGAGCATGTCGTGGTGGGGATCCTAGAAACATTGCCTTTGAAATTGTTGTAAGAAATGTTGGTTCTTATGGGAAAACCTACTCAATACCAATCTCATCTCCTTAGACCTGAATTTTGTCCTAGGGGTGGGGAGGAGGTAAAGAGAAGGCTTCTGAAGAGCTGAATGAGTGGTGTGAAGATTTCCCATGGAGAAGGATACCTGGCACTGCCCTGCTTGTGTGCTATATTTCTTGCCCTTCATATTTTGTCATGACTCTGATGCACCCTTAAACATTTGAATGCTTAGTTATCTTTAAAAACTCATATGAATAGAACAGTTAGATTTTGTTTAGGATCTTGGCAAATGATGCTTTGAGGACATGCAGGAAATACCAGTGTAGTATTTAGTCACTCATCTCTAGAGAGATAGAATTGCCCTCAAGCTTAGAGAATGTAGCCTCTTTGAAAACAATGAATGTGGGCATATAGAATAGAAAGTCAGAGATCAGGTAGAAGAAGAGGAGGAGCAGGAAATGCAGAGCAGGCAGAATTGTGAAAAGCCTTGAATTTTTATCATGTGGTTTAGATTTTCTATGATTGGTAAAGTGGAGCTTCAAAAAGTTTGAGGAAGGATAAAGTATCTTCTCAGTATTAGAGAAAATTTAGGAACATTTGTAGATTAGTTGTGGGTGACATATATAGTTATCTAAGTTAAATCATGTAATCTTATTTGCACCAGCAACAACAGTTTTGGTTTGAAACTAATTTCTTGGTTAAATGATAATAATGGATAAAATTACTCAGCATTTATAGAGTGTCAGTCAGTGGCTAAGAATTTTATAGAGAGTATTTTCACATTCATAAAAAACAAACTAGATATGTACTATTATTACTATTCTCCTTCTCCTTCTTTATTCTTCTTTTTTTCTTTTTCTTCTTTAAAGTGATGGGTTTTGTTATGTTGCCCAGGCTGACCTTGAACTCCTAGCCTCATGATTCTGCCTCAGTCTCCCAAGTAACTGATACAACAGATATGGGACATTATGCCTGGATGTTAGTCTTTTTTGTCAAACGTTCTTGCCTCTTTGTTCATCTGTTCTAGATGAATTTTAGAAATGATTTGTCAAATTTAATGAAAAATGTATTGGTTTTGATAGAAATAGAAATGAAATTTTAGACTAATTTGGAGAATAATGACTTCATAATAATAACTTCCTATCTGAACATATTAGGATATCCTTCTTATTCAGATTCTGTATAAGTAGGGATATTTCAGTGAAGTGTTATGGTTTTATTCATGTGCTCATATAGGGCTTATGTATTTTTTGTTACTTTAATCCTAAATAATATATAGTTTTTTTCTAAAACAAACAATTATGAATGGGATTGTTTTTCATCCATTTTCTAGTTTGTTGGTTTCTAGGAAAGTTACCAATTTTTGAGTATTCATCTTGAATTTAGCCACCTACTCTTTTAGTTGTTTTCTTGGGTTTTCTGGATATATGTGATATATGCAAATAGCAATAGGTTAATAGCCTGTTTTCTTTCTTGTCTTATTGCATTGTCTCATTCTCTTAGAACAAATTATCCCAGAATAATCCTCACATTCCTGGGATAAGTCTTACTTGGTCATTTTTATTCTTTTAATATATAATTTTAATTCACTAATATTTAATTTAAGCTTTTTCCATCTATATTAATAAGTGATTTGTTGGTGAATTGTATGCTTATGTGAATTCACACATACTAGTTTGGGTATCAGTGTATTGCTAATCTCATAAAATGAACTCTAGAAGAGCTTAAATTAAAAAAAAATTAAAGTCATAAAAATTATTTTAATGGTAAGTGGAACCCTCAGTGTGGATAAGAATACTTGACCAACTATAAAAAAAAATTCTACTATTATTCTCCAGAGTTACTACTTCCTTAATTTTTGTAATTCTCTGTTTTCCCAGAAATTTATAATTTTCATTTAGAGTTGAAATTATTTTTGGCTGATTTAAAATTGTGTGTAATTATATATACTATAAGTATATATTGGTAGCTATATTACCTTGTTAATTTCTAACATTGTGATATTTTTCTTTTATATGATGGTTAGAGTTGCCATAAACTCATTGGATTTTATTGACAGTTATGGATTCATAGGTTACATTTTGTTGTTTTAAATGCATCTCAAATTAAATGATGCTTTAATACTTTGTCTTTACCTTGATTATATCTATGTGTTTTGATATGACATATTTTCATTGTTATACATCTCTAAGAAGACTTGAGATTTTAGTTTTATTTCCTATTTAACTGAAGAGTTATTACAAAGAGTAATTTATATACATTTATCTAGATGAATCATTTTTCCTCTAGGCTTTTGTTAGTTTTTGGTTTTGCATTTTGGTCAGATGATATAACATGTAGTTTATATAATTTTTTGGAAACTATTAAATAGTCTGTGGCCTAATATATATCAGGCCACCAAATATTTATTTTGTTTGTAACAAAGGTTACTGTTAGTCACATTTCTTAAATTTTTTTTGCACTTATATAGTATTCTAAAAATATGTATGTTCCATAATTTATTTACTTATTCTCTTAGTGATGAACATTTTTTTTAGTTTGTTTGCAGTAGTCTCAGAGTAAAAAAGTAGCTGTCAATATTCTTATTAATCTTTGGTTAAAAAGAAGGTCTTTCTATAGGATACTTTCCTAGAATGAAAACACACACACACACACACACACACACACAGAGAGAATAATTCTGTGCATTCCCACATATAATTTTATATATAATTTGTTTATGTCACAGTCATTTTAGATTTTGATTTGTGAATCAAACTCATTCTCAATTGACCGAATGCCAAAATACCATATCACCAAGTTGCTTTTGCTTTGTCTCTCCATCATCTTCTCCCAGGTTTGATTTTTGTTAGTTTATTCTATGATTTTAGATGTAGGTGATGTTTAATAATTTGTAGATTTTTTAAAAATATGTATTCTCTTTCAAGAATTATATTTGACATTTTCAAGGTTTGAGACCATGGTAGTATTGTTTTGTTTAACTCATTTCTTGCACAACAGCAGATCTTTTATCATAAATTCTCCATTTCTTGTTCTTATTCATCTCTCTTGGTGGGTTGAATTATCTCTTTAATTTTTTTTCAGAAGGAGAGTGTGCTCTTGCATATATCTTATGTTGCTTTCGCAGATGAATGACCACTCTGTAGATATCTAATTATTTTTTATTACCTTTAGAAAGATTCTTTCTCCTCTATATCCATCCCTCAAGTCCTTCTGTCCTGAGAAACTAATTCTCATTATCTTAAAAGTTTAAATTTTTTTTTCAGGTCAAATTTATAAGCACTCTCAGCAACCTTTGATTACATATGAAAAACATAATGTGACAGACTATCCTAAGAACATAGGGGGATCCCGATCTTCACTCCTTTTGAAGGTTCATGGTGAGATTCTTGTGGGGAATTGTTAATACTTTATGGAATAAACTTACTGATGACTAAATGGTAGCAGGCGTAATTTAGCTAAATATTTTCAAAAATACTTTATGTTTAATAAGCATTTCAAAAATATTTTATGTTTAATAAACTTTTTCAGGTAGATTATTGATCTCAATGCTTGCTGATTTTGATTAAGAAATGGAAAGTAGGGCTAATTCTTTGATTTGTAACCCTAACTGCACATTAAAATCAGTCATGGAATTTTTTTTTAAGATATCTGTCATTTAAAGAAAAGTATCCTAGTTGCTTCTAACTGCAGCCAGGGTTGAATATCACTGAGTTAGTTAATTTAACTTTTATGAGATCATGATTTTTGGCATTTATTTAGGTAAATGCTAATGAAAGAATGCTCTTTGGTTTTGTTTGGTTATGATAGTAGTTTGGCTTCACAAGTGTAGATTTATTGATGAAGAACTGATCAAGGTATAAGTATATGATGATGATAGGGAAATGTTACAGTGCATAGGCCCCATGCTCTTGACTGAGAAAAAGCACCAGGGAGGAAAAGCAGTGGCCTGAACACCAGGCTCTCTATCCTTTGGTTCTAGATTGGAACTTGATTCCTTTTGAAAAGTAGCCTGTCTTATTGTTGTAAAAATGGGGTTTTAACATAGGGAAATTGTATAGTGTTAAGCATGCTCTTAGAAAACACGAGTGCCTTGGGGAATTTTCCTTCTTTGGTATTCTCCCTTTATATGCTTCAGAGTTATCTACAAATGTCACCACAATTAAGCTTGAAAATCACTTCATTGTCGTTAATTTGATTCTACTCATGTTTTCCTTTCTGTTGAACAATAATTGGGTTTGGAAATCAGGCACCTATTTGTTTTTCATAGTTTTGGGGATGAGATGTGAGAAGATTCTGAAATGACTCTAGACAGGCATAATGTAATGCTGAAGAACACAGTTGCTGAAGCCAGGTTGTTTAGAATCCTGATTTTGTACACTTGAGCATGCTATTTAATCTCTCTGTACCTTAGTTTTCCCATTCAAAAAAAAAAAAAAAACTGGAATAATAATTGCAAAATACCTCATAGGATTGTTGTGAGGGTCATTTTGATTAATATGTGGAAAACACTTAGCTTTCTGGGATAATAGTAGGGCCAATGAAAGGTTAGCAGTGGTGGTAAGTGCTGGTACATAGGCTCTTTTTAGGTCGTCTGTGTTTTGCTGGCTGTTTTTACTTTCTGAGTATTTGGGTTGGTCATTCAAGAAACAGCTTAGTTTGTGATGTCAACCATTGTATTTTTCTCACCTGTAGGTGCCTTAATGTTGGTGGCATGGATGACTACTGTTAGCTTAGGGGTTCTGATTGCCCGGTTCTTCAGATCTGTTTGGTCAAAAGCTTTTTTCCTTGGAGAAGCAGCTTGGTTTCAGGTAGGTGAGGAAAAAAGTATTTAATGTAATTTACATATCATGTGAACATTACAACATGAAGTGTGTGTGTTTTGTTCTTTTTTTTAATTTTGGCTATTTTGTGGGCTTAGGATCTTATTATTTCCCTTTGCCTTCCTAACAATTGAGATCAGACAAGATGCTTGGTGATCAAAAGACGGACAGCTTTGTGGAAAGGCAGGCTGGATTGTTTGTCCTTTTGTAACATAGCCATTGGGACCCAGGTGACATTATACCTCTGTTTGTGAGGGGAGATGCTGGAGGAGCATTCACCCACTGTCTGAGGAAAGACAAGTCAAGGGAAGCTGGAGAGCGAAGAAAGAAATAGTGATATTTGCTGCATATCAGAGTAGGGGTCTGACTTTGGTTTATGGGCAAATGTTGTGCTATTCCTGACTTACCAACTTATCTCTGCGTGGGTGGGAGGAGAAACTAAAGGTGTTCCTTTCATGCTGTCCTTCCCAAAGGATGTGGAGTTAGTCTTCTAATGGGAACATAAGCAGGAGTCAGTTAAGTGCCCTTCACAGCCAAGCAAAATAACCTTGTCTTTCATGGGTCATGCATGACAGATTAGCACATATAGTGGAAGATCAGTGAGTGTGTTTTGAGTTAGAATGTAAATGCTTGCTTGTAGAAAAAAATACTGCTAATGGAATAGTTTTGACTTTATTAGAGGGTAGCCTTCATAGTCATATACATTTGTTGCTTGGAAGGCTTCCCTTGTCTAGCCTCATTCTTCATTACTGGTTGGCAGGGCTGTTTTATCTGTT